TTTCGAAATTCAAGCAATTCTAAACCTAATATGCAAATGGTTCCATACTTTGTGTTGACCATAGTTAACAAAGGTCAGTGAATTTTGTGATTCCTTAGATACATTTAAAGTTCCGGAAAGGAGATTACCAACATTTCCTACCCCCACCTCCAAGATAACGCAGTTTAACAAGGTTATAAGTAACGCCCAATCAGTTTATTATACTGAATCATTGTCATATCAAATTTGCTTTATTTGGGTGGTTCGGTTATTGACAAATTACAGACAGGCAGGGGGGAGTTGTTTGCAGTTTGTGCACCATATCCGACGCCGATTAACATTTCCTAGTCTACTACAAAGCGCGTCGTATGTCACTCAGTGATAATGAAACGTGAATATCTGACAGAAGCCCGGATCTTTATTTTAAGTAAGTGGACTCCAAAAATGTGTTTGATGGTGACAAACCAATATGTTTGTCAGTGACTACGCTGGATTGAAGGAGAAGGCAAACCATCACATGACACATTGGCAACAGAGTATTCCATTATACCAACGAAATCCTCGATAAAACTCAGAGTAAGCGAGCGTTAGATTAGATAACACATCCCAACTAGAGGACTGCAAGTAATCATGAGAAATTTGTAAAAGTATGGTAATAATACAGTTTTATTTGAGAATTAGGGAAGCAACACAAATCGGTCAACCAAAAAACAATAACATTAACAGAAATGGTTGGCATGATGACAATATGAGTGGTGGTAATAGTGTACGATGCTAATCTGTTATTCTCGCGTGGAACTCGGTCACAAATCATAAGGATGGCTTAGGCGACATTTGTTCAACGATCCTTCATGATGTTGTCGGCCAATGATCAATTCACAGGCAATCGCGTTGTTTGCATAGCTGACTTCAGGGACCAGGAAATCCGGATTCAATATCAGGTGAAATGTGTACTTTCCCGGAGGAAGGTCCGAGATATCCAGCCACTGACAATCGTAATCATGAAAGTAGTTATCCTGGCAACCGGGACTAATTCCTGTCCAAAAAGAAATTTAGTGATCACAATAAATGAGAAAGTAAATCCTATCAACAAATGCCTTTTACAAGCCAAATGACTCAAACAAACACGAGTTCATTTGGTCAGCTCTGGACACCAGAATCAACACAAACAATTGCATCGGATTTCTATTAGAAATTATTTGCCACTGACCAAACGCACAAGTTCAAACGGTTGATTTGATCTGTTTTTGCCATGTTTATCTTTTCACAAACTGCACAATTCACCCCGTTCTCAACGCGTTTGCAACATGGTCACGGGCTTAGGTATTTGCGCACTTAGATATGCACATCTGCCGAGGCGGTCGCCCACGTTCCATTACCGGGGTGTTTCAAACGGCCCCCGCATTTATCCGTCGATTGAAAGACCGGGTTGAGTTATGCTGAAACACCTCTGAAATATATCTGACAAACCATCTCATTCAAACCAAAAACAAACAGATCATCTTGTCTGTGTTTGAAAGTTTATCAGACCAAAACGTGTGGTGGACAAGAAGCTGTTTCCGGTGTCGTTTTCATTCCTTGGGTGTTCGTTTATCATCAACATGTGAAATGCATTTTATGAAAATTTGTTTCTGTTTGTAAGCTCGAAGTGGTTCATGCAGATGTGATATTTTAGTTTGTTGTGCATGTGTGCTCAAATGGGTTTCTTGTTCAAGCCCCTCTAGGCGTGCAAATACGTGATGCATTGCTAATGGCTCACAAGACAAGCAGACCAATCTAGGTGTACCTACAGAGAAATGGTTTGAGGGTAGTCTACAAAAATATGTATTTCACTAGCGAACCGGAATAAAATTTCTGTGTTGTCATTACTAGATCAGTGGTATCTCATGCATTCAGTTTTTACGCAAATTCGCGCGACAAAATGTGCCGTCTTGCGGAATATTTTCGAAACTGTGATGCATCACGTAATCCCAAATTTCAGCGATCGATTCCCTTCTAAATGTGTAAAGCCGAATGCCATGGAACATACTTGACAGTTCTAAGTAAATTAAATGGATCTAACTGCAAAGTATAAGGTCCGTGTTGAGGGAGCTCTGGTTATTGCTGTTGTCTACATCCAATTACGATCATTTACTGTTATTCATTTGGAAAAACCGAAATTGACTGCGGATTTTGCACACCACCTCGCCACATTACAGGTCAAATTTCGGCCAGTCCAAGGCTCCGGTTGTAAAGTCTCTTGAGAAAATTTACTTGCTTTGGTCTGATCGACCTAGCAGTATCGCGATCTCAAGAATGAAGGAAAATTTAGTTTTCAGAAAGATGACTGTTACGTGATTATTTGGCATACAATTCGGACACAGAAATGTGTGAAAATATATAAAATATCTTTCAAAACCGATGAGACAAATGCTCGGTGGGTGAAGTAACCCAAAATTGGGGTTTACAATATTCTGCGGTATGCCAATGCAATGTTTAATACCCGTCAGCCAATATCACACGACGGAAGTGCACAGGGTCGCAGGGTGTGTTGGGGATCATATATACATGATTTCCGATTGCGGACCAGAAAGTAACGTACCGCACAAACAGTAAAGAAATCCCATTCAATTTACCATGTGATTTGATGGGCACATGTGTTTACACAAGGTTACTGGCGTTCTTGGAATTGTTTACGAATTATCTCATTTTAAATGTCACATCTGTGGCCCTTCACAGTTTGTGTAAACGGAATCCGTTTCGGACCATGTTGCATCACCATCGTCATTGATGATGATAGATTTGACCTCTCACTGTGCGATAAACAAGTCCTTCGAGTGAGTGTCATGTGAATCACGTGCGTGCATAATTACATACGGGCGTGGATCTGCGGCTTCTCAGGATAAACATTGCGCATAACCTCGAGTGAATTTATTAACCTCGATTTTAGACAATAGGCTTCACTGCGAACACAAGGGATATTGCACTTTCCGGGAATCGGTGTCACTGCACATCGGTGAGGTGTACAGTGTCTGTAGTGAAATGCCGCTCCGTTCTTCTGGTCCCGTGAGTGAAGCAACCCGAGGGCTACGGCGGAATCAATCCATCTCTGTGAAAAACGTATTTTGTTTGAAAAGGGAAGTGGTGGTGGTGAATTTCATTGAATTTATGAGACAAACGGTGATCTTCACACAGCAAAGGATAAGTGAACTGTTAAACGGTGTGCAACGCTTGGCAAGGCAGCGATGCAAATCCATCCAATCTACCAGATCATGCTGAACTACTGATCACATTTATGTCAACCTCAGTCGTGATTGTTTGCGTCTCGTTTGATAAACCACAAGCACCTGAATGACTTATGCCACAAAATAGCTCGTTGCTTTCTACAATGTGACCATTGTATGGAAGTGTCTCTGGGAATGGTTTTTAATTAAATGAGTCAAGTTCTCAGGTTCTCACGTTATTTAGGTTTTGGAATTCTCGCAAGGATATAGCGAATTTTGTTCGCTCACGTGATCCCAACCCGGTACACAAAAGTGGTCAAGCAATAACATTTTGACACCGCCGTGCCAAATTCTGAATTAATAAAACACATCATGATTTCCCTCCAGATAGTAATCTGTTTAAGAATAATATAGTATTCCTTGAATAGCCAGAAGCTACAGGTATACATTGTCACAGCCAGTCTTATGTTACTAATGTCGCAATTAGGGACGAAGTGTTTATGAGAGAATAGGAGGTAGACGGCAGAACCGGATTACCAGATTGCGGTTCAATCAGTAAAAAATTAGTAAATTAGAACTCATACCTGTGGTTCTCCTTCCAGGCGAGCCACAAGTGTGCGACATAGAGCCACATTCCAACGAGAGGCAACAACGATTGCAAATGTTTGCTGCTGAAGATGGAAAGGTTTTCCGCATTTTTCTTTTTTCTCTAAGGGGTATATTGTATGAAGTGCTACACGAGCAAATATAAGGTAACCATTCCACTCTTTGATCACACAGAACATCTGTCATTAGGTAAGTTGTGTTTGGTTGCCGATATCAGGAAAATCTTACAAAAGATTGAAATAAACATTTCAACGACCTATGGAAGGTAATATGATGAAGTCGAATTGTAGTGATGTTCAGCTCTTTCTGAATTCGGTTTGTGTCTGTGACGCCATTGTAATTTGGCATCGGTGTAAATCAATCCTTGTACGGAATGTACGAAATATTCACTGAAGTACATCTGCAGAAAAGACGATCGCCAAAATGAACCACTTCAATTAGGGCATACATTAATAAATACCATGTGGGTATCCTCTTATTACAATTGGTTATTTGTGATTCAATCACGAGTAAAAATTGAAAGTTACACGAAAAATATAATTCTACAAAGTGCGAAGGCATTTTGTATCAATTTTTGTTTCCCTTTCTCTATCACTCAAACTTATCCCTTCAATCCACCCCGTTCGTTGTCAGACACTTGAAGTGATAGGTAGTGTGCTTAAAGTTAACCCAATGAACGAGTTCGTTTGCGATCGATCATGCAATGATAAGAGCTGATTGAATTCCCTCGTCAGCATTGACGCGATACTACAGCCAATTCGAGAGCTCAAAACCTCCATTGAAACGAGTTTAACGACCAATTGCCGTGCCAAATTATTTCATAGTGAATGGATAGATGGATGAGCAGATGATGTTAAGTTGAGTGCATGCTGAGTGGTGGGGTTTTGCAAAGAACTCAGTTTGACGGGAGACGGACAACAGTGGGTGGAAAGTCATCCGTCTGTGAATACTGAGTCGGCGAGCAGGAACGAACAATAGAGGTGACACGTCTAGCTGAATCATCTGTATTTAATGCTATCACCTTTTTGTGTCAACTTCAGGGTCTGTCATTTGTAATTACTAAGACAGTCGTTCAATTGATTTGCGAACCAGAGCCGAACTCGTTACTATTTACACTTGAAACAATTACTAACATATGGCATTTGGCTGACAGTCACTATTCATCCGTCATTTAAGAATACCGAAAAAGTGAAAAAAAGAAACAATGGTGATTATCAATTAACTTTTTAATGAAATGAAAAACTTTTCATTGTGTGCTTGTTAGTGTTTTCACCAAAATGAATGTTCACGCTTCTAAACGAGAAATGAGTAAACACTTCTGTTGACATATTATTCCATATAAATTGACATTATGCTAACTTTCATCGTTAAGCAAGTTCAGTCCATTGACTGCTAAGCGCTGTTTGCCTTGTACGTGGTCATCGGTGGTAAAGTGGCTTTACTAGGTAAAACGAACCTAAAACCTTGATCTCCTCTAGTACGAACAACACTTTTGTGAGCACGATATTATCAGATAGGCTGCTGATGTAGCCACCCATTCGCATTGCTCATTTGACCCTTCATCTGAATGAACTTTGGTCGCATGAAACATCAGGTGGGCAAATACAAGTTTTTACGGTGTTCAGCCTGCTATCTATGCGACAGTTTGTTCAAACTAAACACCGCCGTCTAAATTTCCAGTATTCTTTTGCAACACATCAAAGTCTCCTAACTTTCCGCTTTCCTGTCCCTGAAATGTTGATCTCAGATAATATATGTTTAATCGAGGGAGTGAAAGCAAATCAAAGCAAATAGGATAATGTGCTGCTTATTCACAGTTATGTGACAGTATGTGATGAGCTTGAATGGCGTTAGAGCCCAACCCACCTTGATCTCCACGTGTGGATAGTGTGGTTGAACAGCGGAAGCGCATGCGATAACCCGGCTGACAAGCGTTATCTTCCAGACAGAAACTGGCTTTGTGACCAACAGCAAGCACACGTTTTTTCGAATCAACGACTTTGTAGTAAGAGAATACTTTCATACTGTGGTAGTGCCTTTCAGACAGACAGAAGAAACAAAATTGGACATGTCGATGAGTTTGGCTATCACTTGCAATCAAGTTTGACAAAACGCGACTGAACAGTGAGCATTACTTAATTTGAAACAACGATTGTCACATTAAACAAATGATTAACAAACAGGTCGTTACACCCGTCAATCGCATCCTGATTCACTACCCGATATGTCAGCATGTTCAATCTGTTAACAAAGAATCGTGAAACATACGGAGTATTGCAATCGTCTTAACATTCCTGAAGTGAGAAACGTAATCATCTGGTTCAGTGAACATTTTGCTATATTTATTACTAGAATTGGCCCTTATTAGTTCACTTTCCTCTGAATTAACCCAAAGTTGTGTTGATTGGTTTACAGTAAGCATCAAATACTTATTTTTTCTACATCGGTAATCATCAGCAGTGCGTGTTTTCATTGTTTTTATCAGTAATAGAACTATTGATGATCCTGGTGAGGAGTCAAAACCGAAGTCATTCACCCGTTCGTGTCGCAAGCTGTCGAGATCACGAAAGGGGCCCTACTAATGAGAGCCCACAAACAAAACGTAAATGGGCTACAGCAAGCGCACGTCAGAATTTACAGGATGTTTTTTGGAAACTAAAGGACGAGTGACAAGTGTAAATGAGAAATAGAATTTAACTACATAGAAAAAACGAGCTATATCTATCGCCACCAGCGCTGAATAAAGGTGGAAACACAAACTAAGCTGAAGAAAAAATGATAGCCTGATTGGCTGACGTGAGATGAAAACTTGATTCTCAGATGCACGATAAGGAAAAACAAACATGTCACTTTATCGAATGAGGCGACTGTTGTTCAGTATTCTGAAAATATGCTTCATTGAATTTTGTTGATTACCTCGAGCATTTTCGCCGGTTGTTTTATTGATTATTCTTGTGCCATTGCGAGATGTTATTTGCAATTTTGATTAGTATACCATTTGAGGAAGTCAAATCACAATACACTTTAGTTCTGAAGTTCTGTCATGTCATCCGGTAAACATGTAACTCATTTGTTTCTCAAAGATATAGGTAGCAGTAATTTGGAGCGAGAATGAATAAAGGTTATTCCACTTTACCAAAACGTGTATAGGCGGATTCAAACGTGACACAGACCTGATTCACCCTGAGTTGAAGTAACTACTTCAGGCTGACATTCAGTTTAATTTGTTATGCTTGTATGGTGAGTGAGCACCTCTAGAGATGATGGCCTGTCTCGAGGGATATCCTTTGTACACTGAGGTCAAAGAAAGAAAATCATGATGTCGTGTTACTAATACAAATGTTCTCAGTTGACACTCATCATATCTCGCCATCTCGCCAAATGTTTCAAAACGACCGGCCAGTATTTTTCGATTAGCAAGTTTATGTTTGCCAGGCCACAAAATACACCGCTTTCTGACGGCCTGCTAAAATTTAGTGTTAACGATAGTCCACTTGTTGATTCTACATATGGTTAGTTTTTTAATGCAATATTTGAAAAAAAAACAAATTTACCAATAAGGAAAATGTAATTTCACGCTCTTTAGAATCACCTGTATGAGCTATCGAGTTTGGTGGTCGGAATAGAATAAAAGCTTGTTTTTGATAGACCCAGCGTTATGCATAACGCGAAGTACGGAATGGAGAACCAAAGAGAGTACTACTTTGCCAAAATATTTGTGTCTCCCAATGTGACGGGTACTTTATCCCTGATAATCACATACTATTCAACCCACCTAGACCGCTTGTTAATGTATCCAAGCTACCGATTTAATGCTATAATTGATTAATGAGTAAAGATATTCGTTTTACTTGCATCGCATGTGATCTCCATGCCATTTGCGACGAAGGTGGACAAATCGATAGGCACATCTCATTTTGTCTCTATCCTGCACGATTTTGACACACGAAATTGGATTAAACCTGGCTTAATCGATTTGATTTGAGCAGTATCTATTTTGTTCACCGAAATGCAGGTGCATGGGTCTCAGTGTGTGCTCGTGTGCAACATTTGTGTGTGCATTTTGGACCTCAGTATATGTATATATAATCGAAACGAGAAGCTCGTAATGAGAAACATGTATAACCACACGCAATCTCCGGGGATAGGTTCCACGAAGAATTCAGAAACGCTTAGCGCCATGCACACATGGGTTACAGTGCACATGAATAATGGTAAAGGTTAATGTAGCCTAGACAATCCAGAAAATGGTGAGGTTTACATGCAACTTCAGCAAAATGACCTCTGAGACATTGGAACTAATTGTTTGTTTCATCAAAAGTTGGAAGGTGAATTATACACATTGTTTTGATCATTTTTGTTCTTGATCTTGCCAGTTGCCGAATCATTTGGATATTCTTTCTCAATTCACAGTTAAATTGATGAAAATTGTTGATATTCTTGAATTTATATTCAAAAGCTTTCGATCATCTGATAAAACGCACTAACAAAACCTGACAGTGGGTTACACATGCATTCCAATCATATACCGTTTTCTATTTAAAAGGTGTAGTAAACGGAACGTCGAATAACACAACTTTTTTTCAAACGACGATTGCTTAATTTAGATGGTGTAACTCACATATGGCAAGCGTGCCAGACCCATCGCTCTTTCGGCTCGTGTGGACGAAACACATCTGTTCCGACATTGTGTATGATTGACGAGAAACGTAACAGACGTCGCATATGCATGTATGCCAATCGTTGATTTCGATTGATCAAGTTGTATACACTAGGTGGAAAACAGTTCTCTTCTAAGGCGCACTGTGCTTGGAAAAGAGGAATTAGGGTGCTGTATGCAGAAGCTTGTAGTGCTTGCACATCCGGTAGTAAGTCGGGCAGTTCTGAAATAGAGAGATGGGACGTGGTTCGTTGGTCAAACGGTAATTATAAGCCGGTGCGCAAAACGAAACTGATGCTCCTGATACGATAAGGGTGTACGATACGTTAAGCTAAGGAAATATATCTGGTAAATCATTGTAGTGATTCCATTAGTGAATAGTTCCAAGATGTGGGTCCTCCTTGATTTCATGTTGTCTGTGCGATGATGGCTGNCTGAATCGTTCAAGTCGAGATATAATAAAACAGTAACAAGTCTCACATTTCAACATCATTGAACATTATGCAGGCTAATGGAACAAGGTTTAAACGCTGCCTGCTAAACATTTGGGACCATAAACGACGTTTACCCTTTTCGATCACAACACGATCCAACTGGGTTAGTACTTCGTAAGAAATCATTACCAGTATTAAAACATTGCCTTCAACTTTGTTTAAATAAAATGTACATTTTCCGATATACAATTTTGACCCACTTGAAGTGCAGCTGACTGCAATTCCGACGGTCTGGTTGGAACAGGGTACCCCATCCGGACTGGCAAAAGTGACGCAATCTTCCAAACGCGACTCGTTACCAAAGCAATGTCCGACACGCATAATTGGATAATCCACGGATAGACCCAAGTTGTCCAAAGACACCTGAGCAGGAAGAAAGGACAGATATCATGAATCAGTATTCTTTTCTTCCAAAGAAGTACACATTGGAATATCAGTACCGAAAATTTTGTTGACTGCGGAATACAAAATCAATTTGGTAAATTAAGGTAACTTCAATTTATGTTGTGAACTGCATGTTATGGGGGTGAATACTTTATATTTCTCCTCCATCAATCTGGCACTAGTTAGCACTAGAGGACTGCTTTCTATTTGAAAAGGTTGTTTGTCATCTGTTTTTTTTGTGCTCTTAGACCATAATACAATCTACATTTTCCGGTAGCTGTAACACTTATCGTTTGAATATCACAGGTGCATCGCATATTTCAAAGGACGTTAAAAAAAACCTTGGTCCTTGCGGACAACCATTTGCTGTTACTGAACATGTTCATACATTTTACATTCTTCTGAATAGCGTTCTTTTAGTGCTTACTTGGCATACTAATTACATTATAGGATGAACTTGGTTCGAAGCAGAATGAAGAAGAAACTGCATTACAGGACTCAGTTGTTTTTCATTTAGTGATTATCATCATCACCGTAAGTACATCCAGGTTCACCGAGAGTAAGCGTCTTTGCCACAGTTAGGTATAACGTTTCATTCGTTCATGCATTGAAACCGTTACAACATATGCATGTTAATGCACATGCAAACATATACATCCATGGTGATGGCGTCTATAGGTTGTGAAAACAGAAAACCTAAGAGAGGGACCATTACGGAATTTTTATCACCGTATATTATTTTTTACTATTTTTGGATTTGAAATTATTTTGATAACAGCACACATCCGTTTCATGTAATGGAAGTCAAGTTTCGTAGCCAGAGAAAATGTTTACTTCGAATAAAGCGCATCTATTCTTAACTGTGGGATCATAAAATCCCGGGTCGAACAATCAGTATGGGATTTTAGTTTCATCCATTTCATGTGATTCATCGGTTTTTATTTTTTTTGCAAAAACGGAATATACAGAGACTGTTTCCACTAAATGGATGTGATATCTCGCTAGATTAAAAATACAAAATGACAAAATGTTATTCATTTGCTTACTGGTTGGGTTTTGTGTGAAACGCGAGCTGTACCAGGGAATGAATTCCACCACTTCACGGCTCACCGATTGAATATCGGTCGAATGACATGTCAGCCATCACCATCGGGGTTACCCCTATCCCCGGCTATTCCATATCTCAATTCATTACCATCCGTCACTTCAAGACTCACACTCCTCCATACCCTACTTCACACTTCAGCACGTGTACAAACTGTCGATTTAGTGTGGTGATTACTGTTCGCGCTGAAGCTGATCACATCGAATGACAGATGAGTCACGGAATTCACCATGATCCCACACCGGTTTCAATGACCGCAGATACATCATCACATGTGAGGGATGTTATTAACTGTCTCATCACCCTTTCATCTCATACATCTCCACACACACAATGACGTGTAAACAAGCAATGACAGGTTGAGTGAAACTCACTCGACAACTACTTTGGGCATCGGCGAAATTTGATTTCGACGTGCCTACACTTCTCACCCCCGACACTAGTATTGTCTCGTGGTGCACTTATCCGAGGAAATGAATGAACACGCAAAACATGGAGGGGGTAGAATCGGTCAGCAGATTGCGTGTATCCAATCTGTGATCATTCGTATGGAACGATGAGTAATTAAATGTATGCAATGCAGGTGGAGTAAAAGTGGCCGTTTTTGGGTGTTGGTGCGTGTGGATGTTCGCAAGTGTTTGAGAAGAAGTGAAGTGCTGGCAACACTCTGCAAGAATGGAAGAAAGCAACAAAGATTTTTTCTCTTCCGAACAGATCTTTTATGGGTTGCGGGGTGTGAATGAATAGCGGCAAACCGAAAAAGTTATTTCACCGTCCGTATGATCTATTCGGGATTCATGACATAGCAGTTTTCTGAAATCTGCTTTGGTTGAGCCATGCGTGGTAATAATTATTGGTGTACGGTGTAACATAAATAATTCACGAGCACTTAATGCAAAGAATGATTCGTCTTGGAATAGCTTCAGGTTAGTTTTCACTCTTGATCCACTCTACCTGTGTGTGTACTGATACGCTTGATGATGGACTGAAAATCACAAATGAAGCTTATGAAAACCAAGAAAATGCACCATAGTCAAAGGTGAGTTAACCCAGTTTATCTCTGTTCTCTTTGAGAACGTTATTACGCCTATTGACTGAGTCGTCATCTGAGTGAATGAACCTTAGTTGGAATACATTACCGACAAAACGTCGTTGACGGTGTTTGACAATCTCAGAAACTCTAGTCTGAATTGTTTGAAATAATACCGACTAAGAGACGTCTGCTGTGTACCATATTCCGCAGTCCAAGGCCCCCATGTTGGTGCATTATGTCTGACTTACACATGTGTATGCATCACCTGAGAATTCCTCAAACCTTTGAGGATTGAAACAAAATTATTGTTGGCTAACATCTTTATGTGGCTTTTGTCATACCAGAATCAAAATGAAGTCTTCCAAACTGATTAAGACACCCAGCATCAGCGTGCGTCGAACAAATCTTGTTGGTTTGTGTCTTATGAATCTAATTTGCAAACAGAGGTCTTCCGTCGAACAACTAAGGTTTCTACCTTGTGGATACTCATTGATGAGCTTGACAAAGTGAAATTTGGATGTCAAAAAATATCACTAATACATATGTATGGTTCTTATCAGTCAGCTTCATACTGAAAACAATGAATACGGCCGCAAGAAAATCTAGGTAACCGATTGAGCGATTCACGTTAGTGCACAGAGCTTATCTGAGAAAAGCAAAAGTAAATTCACAACCCATACAATGAAGTCATTGTTGCATTCTCATCCTTAAAGCAGTTTTACATATAAGTTCTTGAGTCGGCAACACACCAACATCACTGATTAAATAGCGTTATCAATAGAGCTGCATCATCAATCAAATCTGAAGATAATTCCATTGCATTTATTTATGTGGGCTTCGGTGTTCCGGCTCTTCCGGTGGTTTTGTATTCGTTGAATAACTTCTTTTTTACAATGAAACGTCATCGCTTTACGTTTATTTTATTGATCATAACATTTTATTTCCCTGGGTGCGAACTAAGCCAAAGCTTTTCCCGACAGGTAGGTGGGGATAATCGAGGCCCACCGTGATTGTGAACGGTAATCATAAGCCCAAAAACTTCATATTATGAGGCGTTTTGCTTGATAGAGCTCAATGGTGTAGTCCTTTGATCCAATTATATCGGCATGAGTTAACCGGAAACGGTGGTCTATTCCATCCGACCGTTGTACGTTTTACGAGTTTGTTCAGCGGTTTGTAAAAGGTTTCGATTGGGCTAAAATACATATTGCTTAATAAATAGCAATTAAATCAAATCACAATATAAAATAGCATATTTTGATTTCATTCGTTTTGCTTAAGACATTGCACACGTTTAATTTCATTGGTTCTTCAAGATTATCTCATAAAATTGGTATGAAACAATACGTTTCCGTTTTTATTTGGCTCAGTTAGAAAATGAAAATTAGAGCAGGCAACCGTTTTTGTTACTCATTTGGATTGCATTTTTTAGCGGGGAATGAAGTTCTACCTGTTCCGCGTATACCCATTTCCATTGCATATCCCTTTACTTTTAATTAGCACCGTTCAATAAAAACACCTGTTGTTTACTATACCCGATCAGTTGTGATAACACTACTCAAATACAGTTTTACTGTAGCGTACACAGTGCATATTTTTATTCGTGTTGAAAAAATAATGCGTTGATGTTTATATAAAACAATTAAAAGCTGATGTTATGCACGGAAATAAGCACAGTATTCATGACACCAATAGTTTACCTCTTATAATCAATATGAAGTACAACTTGGATACGGTTGTTATCGCTTGAATAAGAAATCCTTGAATCGAAGTTGCAGCTGTTCATAAATGGATCAATTCATGATATTGAATATACGATCAAATCTGTAATTTTCATTTTCTATCGAATATCTCCTGAGGAATAAGAGAGACCATTGGACGGCCATTTTGTACTTATTGGCAGTGCGTCCATTTCGTGCCTCTCAAGGCTGCAAATATCACTTGGTACCTTTTTAAAGTGATGTGACAATGTCACCCATAATTTTCTCAATTTAAAATATAATGTTACGGGTTTGTGAACCATGATTTCTCCCTTCACTTTGGTTGTTGTTTTATGTTCACAGATTCTCGCAAAAAGGCGACAAAATTGGGTATACACGTTCTACATTGTGCTACTCCTGTTGTGAATGTTCTTTTATATACAATAAGCAACCGGAAGGTGACCTCATAACTAACTCACTGTAGAATACTCCTTGGCCATCTTTAACCCAGCTGAACGACAAATCACATTTGCCTCGGCTCCGGTGAACTGATCGACACATACGCCTCCTTGCACTTGAATATCACTCAGTTCCAACAGCAAAGTAACAACCACTGGAGCCGGTTTCTTTGATGGTTTATGAAGGAATTTCGAGGTAAACAATTGCTGAAATGGGACAAGACGAAAGCAGCCGAGATAGAGATAAGTGATCCTGTAAGACTATCCTATTGTAATTTGGTCAGAGTTTGTCTGGTGTGCTTTGTGTTCATGAAAGTATATGTAGGTTCGAGCGATTAAATACGTCTATTCACACCTCCCAGAAGAACATAATACAAATACAAAGAACAGTTACAGCACGTATTCATTGTTGAAATCATATCGAGTGAAACGTCTGCCCGGTCGATAGGACATATTTTAATTGGGAAATTCAGTGTTAGATGTATCAAAAGAGAAGAATTATGGGTTCAGTAGAATACCATAAAAGCCGAAATTTTATTATAACTTTGCATTATACAATTATTATTTAACAAGGCGTTTTACTCAAACGTTTCTCGGGTTACATAAATTGCTTATTAGATAAAAGTGCTTAGAATAAATGTGATTGTTGAACCAAGAGATCAGATGATAGCAGACACGAGATGCACGGTTTTCAGGCGTGATTCCCTCAGTGTTATTGTTTTAATCTAGATCAACCAACAATCAATTTTTCATGGTTTATTTATTTTTCCTCATTGACACCAGCTGAGGCTACAAATCATGTGACGCAATAAACATTTTTGAAGTTTAAGATCTCGTGAATTTTCATTCACCTGTCGTGACTGGCAGCCTATGAGCGATAGAAAAAATTGAAAGAATATAACAACATCTCTCACCACATCAATTTGATCAACTGTTGCCGTGTAAACCTGCAGATGTGAAGAAACGCTGGAAAACCTCGACACAAATACCTGCATCTGGTCGAATTGTAAGAAAACGGCTTTACGATGCATATTTGAAGATTGCAATACACAGACGTAAATTTGTTAATTAATATATGTTTGGAATGATAACAAGCTGGATTGTGCATCTCGCTCCAGGATAATAAAAGTATAGAACGAGAATAGCTGATTCCACCAGGAGGGTACAAAAAGAGAAGAAGGAATGTCATGTTTTCATATTTATCCTCCGTAGTTTGTGAAATATGATCGGTTTTTCATTCCTTTCGGTGATATTGGAATTCGTTCGGTCATGAATAATCAATCAAGAATGATGAAAGCTATGAGCGTGCATGATTAAACCATATGCCACATTTATGAACAAACAATGAGTTTTTTTGCCACGCACTCGTAGATATCGAAACACTTACGTTTATTAGATATTTATATGTATTCTGATTAGACTTTGATTTTTGTAGACTCAATAAAACAATTAATCCTCCAGTGTTATAAATTAGGCAAAACGGGAAACAACTGACTAGATTATAGTTCGTTGAACTACAGTAGTCAGTAGTCAAACTCGTTCGCACAACCAAAGTGTCCAGCAAGCAGCTGTTTCGTCTTTTACAAAGTAGCTTTCGCTCGTCCGATGCCGTGATGAGTACCTCAATAGTGATTGAATACCCGAACTCGTTGTCTGACTTAATCGTTATTTTTAAACCGTTGAACTGATTACTTCAGATGGGTGTCATCCCACAATGTTCGGCTTTGACGATTGTTTTGTCTATTACATTCTCAAGATCCGTTGAAGAATGGTTTTGTTTAGTGGAGTACGCAAAAAATCTTTCTTGCTGAATGAGATGATTTTATTTTCGATATAATATTTATTTTTTTGAGGGTTATTAATCACTCTTGAATTAAAAGATGTAACCATGTGCTGGTTGAGGCGTGGAATAAAATAATTCGATTTCTCGCAATATGAAAGAATGGGAAGCAGAGTAAAAATTGCAAGCTGTTCATTCATTACCGTTGATTGGCACAACAAATGAGGCATTTAATGACAAAAAGAAACGGTAGTCCCTTCGCTGGCAGATAGTGTGTTGTGGCACATGAGTCTTCACTGTGAAGAGGCCTAATGATGGCTAAAAATAAATCCCTTTCCTATTCTGGCAAAATACGAAACGATGCTAGACGTGAAACTAAACATATTCGTAAATTTGCACGACAGAAGAACGAAAAAAATGAAAATTGCTGATGAACAATTTGGATTAGCAGCTGTGAAAATCTAGTCTACTAGAATTATCAACCTTCTTATGGATGGCTTCCAAACGTCTCACAACTGCGTTTCAGTTCAAAATATATGCACAGGTGAACGAACGATAAGTGAACACATTTGAGTTTCATTTTTAATAACGAATATGATCGTACACAGTAGTTATGTTTGACTACTTTGTAAAATAAATCAGGTTTGTTTCTTTATTTGATTTCTAGCTAAACGATTTTATTCCGTCGAAGGTAAGCCATCGTTGCATAAACTGCTTACACAAGAAACATGGTGGCAGTTGACAAACAATGAATATGTTAATTTCAAGCAAAAGTCAAAAAGCGGTTTCATGGGACCTAAAATGCATGACGTGCTTCTAACTCCATGCTGGATTCGTGCCATTTATCCTGTTTCCAAACCACACAGATCAAGTTTTACATGGTGTCGATCGGAGCAGTTTCAGTAAAACCAAATGAAGGGTGTTTAAGCGCAGTTTGTCTATATTAAGAAATATCCCCCGAGGGTGTGAGATGCTCCTAACTCTACCAGAAATACCTAAGAGTTGACAAAAACAAGGACCATTTTTTGACACAACCGAAAACAAAACTGAGGCATACAGTCTCAAATGGATTCAGGATCGAAATGTTCAAACTGCTTCTGTCATCAAGGAAGCTCCCGTGAAACACCTAACGGTATGGAACACGTTCTCTTACACGTGCCACGCTGTCACCAGACGACCTAGTTGATTTAAAACCAAGGTGAAATCTGATTAACCAGTTAGTCAGTTCATTGTATTAACTGAAATCCTGATAATGTAATCAAATTTGTGAGTGAGGTGTAGAAATGTAATGATGCTAGAGATCCATGGCTCCCATTCCGTTTTCAGTAATCGCGGAAAGAAAAGATCACTGAATAGTGTACCACTCTATTATGATGACAAACAGCCGGCACCTGAACTCAGGGGCAATACTTAGTCTTGATGATTGCCGTACACGTGTGGTTTACAAATTAAATACCATTCAGAAGAAAACATCTGGAAGACGGTCACTTAACATAGAGCAGGAGGGCCCCGTGTAACGTAAGCGGAGGACTGCCAAATGTATCTAACGACAGCACTCATAATATTGTCAAGGGCGTTTTTCACAGCCTATACATATAATTTCAAGCATTAAACATTGAAATATTTTCATGATATCATTATCATACTAAAGTCAATTATTTGAATGACTCATGTAGTGATAGCTTGCTTCCCAAAAAATCACGTTTCTTCTGTTTCGAAAATTTCAGGTTTGAACAGGCTTAATTACTCATGTCCGAGTTCACTTATTCAGTTTATGCCTTTCCTATCCGCTGACAATAACCTTGTTGCTAATAACCTAAATGCGTTATTCATCCATTGGGGTCTGAACGTTGAAACGGTTTTAACCGATGACTTGTCTGTGCATATATAGGATGTGCGTCATTAATGGCACATAACGTTTCCAAATTAGGTGTAATATAATTATTGGTAGATTTTAATTCAAAACCAAATGAACTTTAGTTTATTATTGTTCTCCGTTCTGGCATAACCCGAAGTAAGTGCAGGAAGCAAACCCCATGACTCCTCTGATTTTTATTCCGTGAATAGGATCGGAGGAATTAAAAAACATTTTACTCAGTTTAATAATCGAATACTGATTCGACCAGGAGAACCAATTGCTGCGAATTTTCTCGGGGTAATTTTCGGAAAATAACGTCTGAACATTCCAGTCCTAAAACGGCTCATGGATGCTTAGCCGACGGAGGAGAGATCTGGTGGGCAATGTGTCACTTTATTGCATCAGATCTTATCGTTGGATGCGAATGTTTTGTTTTTGTTTATGTGAGGTTTACGATCCAAATCAAACAAATGCAAGTACCCAACCGAAATATACTTAATCCGTATCTGATTTTTCATTAAATGGCGGGATAGTGAATCAGTTTGTGACGAGCAGAATCTATGCTCTGTTCCTTTTTATTGAATAAACCAACTTTTGACTTTTCGTTTGGAACTATACTAATTTGTCTGGTCACTGTGACAGCTAGTTATCAATCATAAAATTGAATTACACTAATATATTCCATTTGCAGTTCCAACGATCAGCCAGGAATCGTCATAATGTTTGTCTAACTAAATAGAATCCTAAGGATTATTATACTATCTTGGGGCAACGTACAGCATAAGCACAATTAGTATCTCTAAACGAAAGCATATTTAAAAGGCTTCGTGAATGCAAATCTATTCCGGCCAAGGGATAAAAGAAACCATTTTTCAATGAAGTTTATTGACATATTTTGTGCTGATCCGTTTTGCTGCAAATACAGACGACAATAAAAGTAAAAGGAAGTGCAATTCAGACTTTATAACCATTAAACATGGACTTCTGTGCGCCTGTTTTGTTTGCTGTCTCACATTTGGATGCACATTTGGACAAAGGAGTTAAACGAGCACTGGAATGGTCAAATCAGTATCAGGGTGAAAATTCGGATAGCCAATGGCAATGATTGGATACACCACTGCCACTGATTACAGCACTCAACCACATAATGATCACGAGGTTCTCATTCAGGAAGCTTAATCCGACCGATGAGGTTTTCATACTCTCATGCTCCGTCTTAGTTTGACTACCCTGTACGTTTTCCCATCCATCGTCTCTCCCGGCAAGTAATGCGTCCCATGATTATCTATCTGGTGACACGTGCAACAAATGCTCCGTACGCATGGGTGGTATCTATTGATCGGATAGGGACACACTGGAAGTCTTCATAATAGAGACACCTTACGTTTGTAGTAAGGTTAACCCAAACAGATGTTTTCCCACCAATTCGAGGACAGAGATTGATATACATTATGGAAGCTGACATTTTGATCGGATTAACACCCATGTCAAATTATACTGATCTGATTGTTTTCACAATATGACTCATAAATGCCGATGACATACAAATAGAAGAGGCATCTAATCCTTGCAGGTAGCTCTTTCATACACATGATTTATTGGTTTGACTACACGCGTGTTCCGGTTCTACCTTCCGCATCGGCCACAAGTTGTACATAGAGAAGTTTTGTCCTCCTACGCTTGATATTACTTTCCTCTTGAGTGATCCTTCAGTAAAACCTATCGTTATGTTATCAGAAGTTTAAAAACGGGTGTTTAATTTCAAATTCTACCGTTGCGTTTTGAACTCCAAATAGAACACGCTTCGCTCCTCGTACAATATTATAAATTGACCATATTTTGTGAAAGGGGGATTAATAAATAACAGCTGAAGGATGTTTATTAGTTTTAATAGAAATAAACAAAAGCAATGAGGACTATAAAACTGCCACGTTAGACTATATGCACGTAATACCCAATTACACAATTTATCTGAGTTTCTCGCTCACAAATAGACGCATAGAGGGTGATATCACAAGGCAAACTACAGAATATTTTTCCTTGCTCAATCTCTGGCTCTCTCTTAGTCCGTGCTTTCATGTTCTAACGTTTCTCAGAGACGACTTCAAGCGCATCAAGTTTTTTATTACAGTTGAACCACACCAGTCTTTTGTGAGTAGAAGATTTTGCAAATCTAGAGTTGCTAATTTCACGTTAGTTGTGTCATCACTCCACTTGAAATGCTTAACAATAGATTTCCCCAAAATTCTAAAAAGGTACAAATGACACCGTTGCCATACATTAGCTGCTCTGCAACGTCACAATCTATTATCAAATCCAACTTTATTTTCGGATACTAAATAAAAGGACTGTTTTACCAATGCTGGTTTATTTATTCATATTGTTCTTGCAGAATAATTTGTCCAGTTTCGACTGTAGATGTCGAAAGAAGCAACCAAGTTTGAGTGCTTTAACCTTGTTTTGTAGTTCCGACCACTGGATTGTTTTTTTCTCATTGTGTGATACGCAATCTGTTACTACTCTTTTTGACAAACGTTCTAAGTTACAAAATGCATTGCTAAAAACCACAAACCATCATCAAAACAAATCAAGCACATCACTCATTCGACGACTATTACGAAGCGTTTTATGTTCCTATTCGTATTTAGCTCCCGAGTAAGGACGAGGCTATTTTATCCCATTCATACATTCATTCATTGATGGTTATATGAAGTTGATACTGACTTAGATCTAACAAAATATTCAATTGGTGGACTGATTGCACCAAACAAGCAATCTGAAGCAGTCGATTGACGATTCCCTGTAGTAACTCACTTGTCGCAATCGTTCATTGTGTGACTCGTTAGTGTGTTTCAGTTGTGGCTTTCGTATATCGTAGTGCCATTCAATCGGTTCCGGGTTCATGCAAATCACTCCAGCCTCTTCCCGTTGTAAGCAGTCGTGTTCATCCCAGAATGAACAGTCTTCCAACGATTTCTCATTGCCCCGACAAACAACGTCATCCATGATATAGTTATCTGTGATTTATCGGTTGTGATGGAAGTGAGCATAAGGGGCATAGAGACGAAAGAAGGTCATTGTTGGAAAAAAAGGCGATCCGTTAATGTCACATTGAAGAATAACGTCAATACCGCATCTATGACCCACGAGAAATGGGAAGGTTTCATATTAGATGTTTTTATCCCAGTTCCAGACAAGATGCCTACTAAGCGCTATGATTAAAAAAACATGAACAAGTTTTATTGCTTCTAACAGGGGTACTATTTTGAAAACATACTACTCATCAGTGCAATTTGTTCTCTCGACTAAACGCAGAAGCGAGAACCTTGTAGATGGTTCACTGTGATTGGTATTGTTGGTATTGTCATGAAATAGTGTTACATACACTAAAACCATAATATATTTTTTTAAACCCTTCCTAGTAGTAGTGGTTGGATATGCCTGATAAATTCCTACAACAAAATACTATTCCGATTAAATGTTTCTTCTGGTTCGGAAAAGCATAATGAAGATATTATGATAAGTTACTCAACCAGTTATGCGGGAAAACTAAGATGAAATCTGAGCGAAAAGCTGAATTAGACAGGGGAAGCGACACGAACTCCTCATGCGTGCATTCCTTTACGAATGATGACCGGATATTATTGTAGAGAAAATGTTTAACCATAACATATTCATCGTGACACGTTAAAAATAATTACCTCGGGGTAAGTGAGTATACATTGCTTCAGTCTGCAATAAAACTGAACCACCTCAAAGTATTCAAAAGTGTTCATCCTTTGTGATTGTCATTTAGACCAAAGTGTTATGCAACCGAATGTAAGACATGGGAACATTGAGCTGAATATACGAAACAAGACGGATAACTTTCTAGCTAAAACCTTAAATTCCTACATGGGTAGAACCTTTACACTACAAACTGTAACTGGAAGAGTTTGCAAGAATTGGATAGACATAAAATCACACTAGTACAATGTGAAATTCATGTATCTTTTAACGATAATGACATCAAATATGCGCTTATCACATGCATAGAAAAACTGAAACATCTGGTAAAAAATTGATAGCTAAATTAACTTGTTTTTGTTTTTCAACAGATTTCACTTCTTACGGAGTTCGCGTGCACAGTTAGTCTCGCTGGAGGACTAGTTATTCACG